TTGGTTTTCATTTTCATGGTCGTTATACTGGTAGCATTTTCCAGGGGAATATTTCCAGTTTGGAACAGAAGCCATGAGGAAAATATCACCCTTTTTTCTTGAGCACATGCTCACAAGGCTTTTTTAGAGTCTCAGTGATCTCAGCAAATTTCGTTCTTGAAAATAACAGGCGAATTGTATTCTGACCAAACAGTGTCAACTAAACTTAGTCAGACTTGGTTTTCTATGTATATTTTTGCTGCAGTTAGATTCCAGAATTTCAAGCACTGCAGTAAATCATCTTGATTTAGATTCAAACAAAGAAAGGGAACAAAGACTTCTACCTCATACAAGTTTCAGAACTTCCATGAAAGCAAGATGCCGCCCTAATTTATCTTTTGAGTAAAATTATTACTTCCCTTTCTGTTTAGTCTTAATTTCTGGATACAGATATGAAGGGATGATTTATTTATAATTAGTGAATTTACTGAAGTGGATTTCCAGAAAGCAAAATAACTGAGTGTGGATCATGTAATTTGATGCTAGCAATAATTAAATTACTAATTTATTTTAATAAATTCAGTGAATCCAAAGGTATTTCCTTACTGGTGGTGTCATTATTTCTGACTTGCAATTTAGTTTTGAAAGGGAATAAAAGGAGCCACAGAAATGTTACCCGCTTTTCTTATTTATGTCATAGCACATAGTGAACAAGTTTTAATTATGGATTTTTAAAGTGTGATTTACTGCCTTTAAGAATTTGATTTCCCTTTATTAAAATCTTAGAGAAAAAAAACAAACAAACCTTAGAATCCTGAGAACATCATAGGTATGAATACAATCCACTTTGTTTTTATAGCCAAAATAAAAGGATGAATAATCACAGTCCAAAAAACTACCAGTGAAAAGCTATCCCACAGTCTTAGGCAGAGGTCCTTCAGGAAACCATCCATCCATCTAGTCGGTCAGTCAACATTTATCAAGCACATACATTGTGCCATTAGATTTGTCATTAGCGATTTCATTTTCTGCCCTCATAGAGTTTACAATCTACTGAAGGGTGAGGAAAATCAAGTAAGCAAATAAATAGCTCTATAATTACAACTTTGATAAATGCTATGAAGGAAACCCACAGGGTGCAGAGGGTAATAGTGGAGATATACTTAAGGAAACCTTTCCCAAGAGTTGTATTTAAAGTCCAAACTTAAAGTATAAGGAGATTCCAACCATTCATATTTTAAAAGGGGAAGAGTCAGATGACTGGCCTTTCATTTTTTTTGAGAGAGACTGCTAAGGTGTGTGAGCTGGGAAAGGTTTGTGGGACAGAGCCCCACCTAGGGCTGCTCACTCAGTGTGGAATCTGCTTGGGATTCTCTCCTTTTCCCTTTGCCCCTTCACTCTCGCTCATTCTCTCTCTAAAAAAAGAAATAAAATAAAAATAAATAAGATAAATAAATATGCTTTCATAGAGGATTTGACTGGGACACAGAGGTTAAGACTGTAGGATAACACTACCATACTGAGGAAGAAGGACAAAAATCTGAAAGAAATTTATCTTTGCCTTGTTTTGCTTGTTTGTGAGCTTGTGCTAGCATCTGATGACATTTCTAGTGAGTTAGACCAAGATTTCATTAACTTGGAATTAAAACTCACTCATTATGAGCAGAGAAGAGATAACCAAGGTTAATTTAATACCTATTGTAAGATGCAGTGGCAGGTCAGGGTAACAGATCTCAGATTTCCTGAAAATAATGCTTGACTCACAGCTGCTGTAAATCAAGCAGGATCTACCTGTATCATGACAACTATTTAAAACAAAGTATAAAGACCCCTAATGGGGAAAAAAATCTTGAATCATCTGGAAAAAATGCACATAGAGATTAAAAATTTAGTAGAGACCTACTTCATCGACATGGAAAGACAGTCACTTATATAAAGTAGAAGAACTACAAAACAATGCTTAGAGTATGCTCCCATTAATAAAATTGTATGTCTAAATTGTGTTTATATTCACATGTAAAAAAAAAATCTAGAAGGAAAATTTCCAAAATGCCAATAGTAATTATTTCTTGATGGTAGGCTCATGGGTGATTTCCTTTTTAATTTTTTTCTTTTCTTTTTATATATTTCTGTATACCCTTTTTGTTTGTTTCTCACAATGACGTATTTTTTAAAATGTAGAAAAAAAACTTTAAAAGATAAAATTTCACTGTACTGGTTAATATTGATTTAAAGCAAAATGTCTTTAGTGCGATAGATCTCACTTTCCTGCAAGCTAATTAATTTTAAAGGACACTTCCCAAATGTGGAATGATAGTTCAGATGGCATAATTTGCTCTTTGGCCAGGGCTGAATTGCCAAACAGTCAGACACAAAGAATGTGCCTAGTGCATTAGCAAAAAAAGGAAGACACCAAAAAAAAAAAAAAAAAAAAAAAAGAATATTTTTTGAAATTTCAGAGAAGTGTAAAAGTATTTGCATAGGAAAAATATTAGAAAGTTATTGAACTGATGTACACTTTTTTATTTTTATAGATTTATTTATTTATTTTTAGACAGAGTGAGTAGGGGCCATGCAAGCAGGGGTGGCGGCAAAAGTAGAGAGAAGCAAACTCCCCAGTAAGCACAGAACCTGACGGGGGGTTCAATTTCACCACCCTGAGATCATGACCTGAGCAGAAACCAAGAGGTATTTGCTCAACCGACTGAGCCAGCCAGGCACGCCCTGATGTATACTATTCAATGATTTAATATCATTTTTTATTTTAAGAACATGTAGGTGAAAAGATGCTTGGGACATATAGGTAAGAGGTATGGCTGAGTTTTTTTTCAAAAGTCCAGGATCTATAGGAATCTTAATTTGGTCCTAAGCATAGAAAAAAATTATGTTACCTCCTAACCTGGATGTTACTAAAAATAAAGGCAATACTTAGCCATAAAATAAGGACACATCAACCCAACAAAGTTCTGATTTTTCCCAGACAAATGCTTCTGTGTTTTTCTAAAATATCAAGAATCCCAGCTTTTCTCCAAAATCTTTGCATGCACCATTTGGGGGGGGGGGGGGGGGGGGGCGCAGAGGCTGATACCCTAAACATACATTTAGTCTATTTAGCAATTCAATATGATAAAAGAGCAAATCATGACACCTGACATATTAAAAAAATTCAAATAAAACGAGTCACATTTAATGCAGATTTGTTATATTTGATATTTTTAAATTCTAATTAGCAAGAGAATATGTTAAATGTTCTAACATGGCAGATTTGGGCTCATGGGATTTGGAATCCAGGTCCAATTAGACCATTTACCAAACCCAAACTTGGACCAGTCTAACTTCTCTGAGCCTGTTTCTACTTATTTAAAATAGTTATGATGACACAGTTTTCCTGGCACAATAGAATTTACTAAAGTTTAAATGCCAGTCAAAATATTTAATATCCCAATAAGAATGGCATTTCCAAGACAGCGTTTGAGAAATCAAGAAATAATCAAACTTGAATATTGCTAAATAATACATTTAAACAATAACCTGCAAGTATCTTTTATATACTTTGTTCTTTCTGACATCACCTTCAAGGTTCTTGAATTATTTTGTATCTAGACCCCACTCAACTCCATTTTAGTTTTCAAAATTAGCCATACAAAATGGAATAATTTTAATATGGCTGTTAAACATCACGTTCCACAAAGTTGCTGAAAAAGGACTCTTATGAAGAGGCCAGTGTTCAGTTCCCTGCATCCTGACAAGGTAACATATAATATTTTCCAAGTAGATGGTCAACCAATTTCTTTAAAAATATTCCAATTTTGTAATTTAGAAGCCCATTGCAAAATGGAGTCTTACTGTTATAGATCTAGAAGTGCCAGATATTAAACAGCTAAAGCACACTCTAAAATGGATAATTTATACTAGAAAAAGCCAGAGAAGTTCTTGAGAAAGAATCTAGTCTATGCCATCCCAAATAAATGCATGGCTAGAGTATACTTTCAGAGGTTTTGATGGAAGAAGAATGCACTGCTTTACCTGGTTGCCCAGTTGACAACTCAACTTTGCTATCAGGAAGTTCCACATTCTGTATTTCTATTCTTCATTCTTCCTAATGAAGTTGAAGCTCATTGACTATATTTTAGGTTCCAAACAACCCCCAGCTCTTCTGAAACAAATGACTGTCAACTCTCAATTTTCTCTTCTAATGAAATAATCCTAGGTTCCTTATCCTTTGTTAGAGAATACAACCTGTAGTCTTTAAACACACTTGACTTTTGTGTGGCCTCTCAGTAAAGGCCATATAATTGTCTCAAGCTATGGGATCAAAAACTAGGTCTAAGAGTCCCATCAGGATCTGACCACATAGGTAAAACATGCTACTACCGAGAGTTCTGTGCTGACAGCCTACAGTCACTGGCCTCTGACTAAACTGTACCAACTTCACCTATAAAACCACAACCCAGTGAAAACTCAACACAAAGGAAATAAAACAAAGGCCCAAGATAGCTGCTTTCATGCATGAAACAGGGTCAACTGCGTCTTTATTTCTTAAAGCTTATTATAGATACATCTGAAATCTTAATTTTTGGAAGTCAAAGTTATCATTTAAAAGATTTAGGATGCAATGTGTTATAAAAATTTTATGTGACATATAAGCCCAGTACTTCTTTCCTTGCTCTACTTTATTTAGTTATAAATTAGGCACATGATAGCATGACTTTACAGTGTTGTGAATCTATATAATATATAATATGCTGTGAGTATATTAAATCCATGTTTCCCATTAAGTCTCCCTATATATAAACCAAATGGAACATTTATTCTCTGAGAAATTAAAACTATAAACTTCATTCAAATACATGTAAAAATTTTAAATGAAAAAGGGGCAGTGAATAAAATAAAATGCAAGATCAAGATAAAAAGTGTTACTTTACATTGTAAAAAAAAAATGTTTGCACTGACAATTATATTGTTTGAGAAGAGATCGATGGATAAAACTAGTCCATATGATGAATGCAATACACTTTTACCTGCAAGGATTTTTCTGGCTTTAATTCAATGAAATCCATTCTCCTGAGTAGTAATGGAGTCCTGTACCCTACTCATCTCCGGCATCTTCAGTCTCCTGAGCTGCCTTAAAGCCTTGACATAATAAAAGGTCAAACAGATCCTAGTAAGCATTTGAAAACTACACAGCCCCCCATTTCGGGCTACCTGCCATACATTCTCTTGCTAAGCTTTGCTCACTCTCGTTTCATTTCATTGTATAAGCAGGCTAATTTGGAAATAGCTAGGGTATTTGGGAACACCTAGATTTTCAAAACAATCCCACTTTCCTACTTAACCACCTAAAGAAGTGACCCAAAATACAATATTTGAGAGAACTGTAAAATGGTGCCTGGATACTGAAGGAATGAAGACCAAATAGCAAGCACCACTATCAAATAAAATGAATGCATTTCACCTTCCAGCTCATGTGTGCTTCCTGGACACAAGGCACAAACATGAAAGGGATGGAGTAGAATTTCAAGAAAACTGATTTGTTTCAACATTTACTTGGCAAGATGCTGGACACAAAATAATATCTCAAGCCACCTCCCTTTCCCATTATTGTAAATTCAGGGCTCTCAAGTCACCCCCCACAAAACCAATTAAAAATGAAGAAAAGGGGCAGGCTATGAATTCGCATCTAGTGCTAAGATACAGATTAAATGATAGGCATCTGTCTTAATTGGTCACAATGAAACTAAGGGACAATAACAAGAAAAAATCTCACATTAATCCAAAAGAAACAAGTGAATAATATAAACCAGAACCACAGTTTCAAAAATATTCAATTACCTCCAAGCATGCAAGGGCATTTATAACCCATAAATATGATTGCAGAGCACAGTATGCATATAAATGTATTTCATAAATGTACTACTTATGCTAAGAAACATGTGTATATATGGATATGCATTTCCATAGGCTACACATTTGCATGTTCACAATCACATCTACCTACTAAAAATCAACCTCTATCCAGCAAATGCTTTCTCAACAAGAGTACATCAGAATATGAAGTAGAATGCTAAATTCTGAGGCCACCTCTTCTTAGCGATGAAGGAAATAAGCAAAATCACCTCATAATTAGGCCGGGAAGCTTCGGAGGCACCAAATGGGTTTTTGAAGAAGGCCCAACCCTGTATGTGAGAGCTGCAAATTAAATGAGTCCTTTCAATAACACCCATTTCTTGTTAGCTCTTTTCCCACCCCCTGGTTCTGCTGCTAAGCTTGGAAGGAAAGGAACCCAGTGGCTCAGTCTGCATTCTGAGCCAGTTCAAGATAAAATCAGAACACCATTTTTTTTTTTTTTTTTTTTTTTTTTTTTAAACAGAGCGGATGCTTTCTTACTTCTCTCTTCCTGGCAACCTTCCTCTCTCTCCATCCCCATCTCTGTCTCTACATCTTCCTCTCCTACTCGGAGGGAGTCATTGTTCAAGTGCTGGCCACAAATGTACACAGAGGTCCTTTAACCGTCAGCCAAACGAGGAAGACAGCCCCACAGTCTCCTACTTACCATGCTGAGACCTGGAGAAGCTGTTGAAAGGAGGGAAAGATGCAAACTGAATCCATTTTCCTTGTGACCGTGTCGGATGAGGCCTCCGAACGCAACATCAGCACTGCTGCTGGGATTTTGTTCCCTCACTCTCTGGTTGGCAATGGTGCGAAGAGGAACCACCCTTCCAGCCTCACTAAAGCATCAGCAGTCGAGGCGGCAGGAGCAGCGGCATCACCACTTGGCCTCCTCCCTCTCGGAGGATGGGGTGAGCTCAGAAGCAGCCAGGAACTTGCAGCAGACACCTCCTCTGGCTCCTCCTCTCCTGCCCCTCCCCCAAAGCCCCACCCCTGCTGCGGTAGAGGCTGCCTGTCCCGGCAGCTGCTGGTTGTCATGGCAACGACCAATGGTGAACCACCAGACTAAGGGGGAGGGGAGATGGGTGAAATGAGCTGCAGGGGCTGGAGGGGAGTGAATTTGTGCTGCTGCCCTCTGGGATGCTCTTGGTCTCTCCTACCTGGACTCTGGGTCTTTAAAAATGGGGCAAGGGTGTGTAGGCACAGGAAGAGAATAATTTAAACGTAGTCTAAATCAAGACTGAAACATACAAAATAACTTAGCTATTTTTTGCACTTACTATGGTTTTCCAACAAAATGTATTACAATTTGCCATCAGAAAAAAAATAATAACAAATGGAGAAAATCATATCCTGTACTCGGTTATTATAATTACTCCAAATATGTTTGTCCCTGATAGTATCTTTTACTCAATGTCACTGAAGGTTGTTAAAAGGCAAAGTAAGTGGCTGGACTGCAATAAAGTAAGTCTGAGTCCTTAACACTACTCTCTGCTTGTTCTTCTCAAGTGAGTCACTTGGTCTCACTGTTTTGCCAATTCTCTCTCTGAACAGGACTTGGAGGTATTTGGTACCCCTGTGGAAAAGTAAATTGGAACAGAGGGAACAGAAATTTCTTGAGCAATCACATACATGGTTCTCATGAGCACCAACCAGCTGGTGGATAGTTCCAAGCCTTTGTAATATCAAACTCCTAGAGTGTTAAATTCCCTGCAAAAAATTCTAAACCATTTTCATGGACACCATTTTCATGGATGCCTTTTTGGTGTTCCCAAGCCAGCTGGTAATCAGGGTGGTAGGCAGGAAAAAGAAAGTGAAATCAGCAGTGTTCCGAGTTCTTTGTGAGTTTTGTTTCTAACTATAAATTATAGATAACACAAGTATTTATCTCATGCAGTAGTTGTAAAGAGTAAATGAAATAATGCATTAATAGCACTTGGCATGTACTAAGCATGAAAATAAATGTTTACTAATAGTAGTGGTGGCAGTAGTAATACATTGTAGCTGCCTCTTAATTCAAGGGATCAAGGCAATAGCATGGCAAATTCAGACAAGGCAAAAAATTAAGGTGAGAAAACAATAATGATAGATGTGTTGGTGATGATGATGGCAAAGACAGAAAGATCCTGAAAGAATAAAGGTTTTCTAAAATGGGACAGTTGAGGATACTCTAAGTCTTAAAGGACTCAGATAAATTTCCCAAATTCACACAGCTAATTAATGATAGGACCACAATGAAAACTCTGACCCTTCTAATACTAACAGTTGCTCCCCCCTAATCATTACAGTTTTCTGCCACTCCTCCATGGAATGGAGATACCTTTTGTTCTTAACAAATAGGGTTATTTATAAGTTTAAATAGGGTTAATGTAATTTTCAGAGTCAGACAGCCTGGGATCCATTTCTGGTGCCAGTATTTACTATAGATATATCTTGACACAATAATTAATTTCCCTGAACAGATGTTTTTGGAAATAATCATAGAACCTTGTGGATTCCTCATGAGAACTGAATAGAATGATGTATGTAGAGCATTAACACAGTGTCTAGTACATAGTAACTGTTCAATAAATGGTAGCTATGATTATCTATTGCTCATTCTTAAATAATTAATATTAAAATGTAAGGTTTTTTTTTCCTTAGATGGGGTCACTCTTGATGCCAGGGCCTTATTCAAACAAAACTAAATAGAAGGTAATTAGGTGGTCAAGGAAAGAGCTGCAGTCATCCTCACTACCATCCTCAGCCTTACCTCTTGGTCCTCTCCTGAGGGAAGTCTGCATCCTGCTTTGTGCAGCTAGTGGTTCGTGCCTCCCACCAGAGACTGAGCAACCACACAGTCTGCGCATACGTCTACATGAGCATCACGTAAGGGTAGTCATGCAACAGGAAGGAATGGGTTGTCTTGCTTTTTTTTTTGTATTCTTCTCTGTATTTCACCTTCTGCCATCTCCACAGAGATGGTCATCTAAGTAAGCAGAAAGGAAGGCTTTGGGTTGTAGAAGCTCAGACACGTCTGGGTGACAGAACCCGCCCCACCAGGCTCGTGAGGGAGCGTTTCATCTTTCACACCAAGAGGTAACTTGGTTGAGTGAGCCATTCCAGTTTTCTCTCTTCCCATCAACACAGGCAGAATCAACTGAGGGAGAAAACAGAGTTTGGTGTTCAAACAATTGTCATTCAAATGCTCTCCCATCTTCCTTCTGCCATATCCATGAAGCACTGTTATCATTATTTTATAATAGTTTTTTAAAAATATTTAATTATTTGCCATTTATCTACTTTATTTGTTATTTTAAAATGAAATCTGTCTCTGCCTTCACTAGAATATAAATAAAAATAAGCATCATAAAGAGAGTGTCTTCAGAGAAAAGAACTCAAAGCAAAACCATATATTTTGGGAGACTGAAAGAGACACTAACTTTATCTGTAATTTTTTTAGAGTTTTCAAATTTCATTCCTTCTCTCCATTGTCATCTCCTCTCTAATCATGCTCTATTTTTCCATGGTATTTGTCATCTTCTAATATTATGCTCTACTATTTATTTGTGCTTCTATATTTTTTGTTATCTGTTGCTCTCCACTAGAATGTAAGCTATGAAATGACAGGGATTTTCGTTTGCTTGTCTGTTTTTGAACAGTTCCTGACCTCTATTAGGTGTTCCATAAATATTTGTTCAATGAATAAACCAGTAAATAAACAAAATATCAACAACTTCTGCCTTGAACCATGTCTATATAATGTTATATAATGTCTATATAATGTTATAATAGTATTTGTCCAGTTATGTATTTTTTATATTTCTCAAAATTAAAAACTAAGATAATGACACAAAGTACCTTATTAGCATAATGCATATTAGCATAATGTCTGATACGTATTTTAAATATACATAGTTATGAAAATGGAAACGTTTGCTCATGCATATTCAAAGTCATCTAGCATATCGCCAGTAGTATGCATCATGTTATTTGAGAAATACTGATTTTGTTCTAAGAATGTCTTCTCCAGTAGTACTAACAGTAAGCAGACTGTCTACCTCCTCTGGGACCTTTCCAATTTTGACTTCTGGATTTTATGAGATGTCTGAAAAAGTACAGGGTGTGGGTATTGGCTTCAAAAGCAGCATTAAATTTTCAGGAGAAACCACAGCATAATGGGAGGAAGCTGCAAAGTGTAGGCTCTGAAGACCGACTTTTTGGATTGAGTTCATGCTTCACCATTTGTTTCCTGAATGACCTTGGGCAAGCTGCTTAATTTTTATATGCCTCAGTTTCTTCATTATATGACATGCTAGCAGTGCCTACTTCATTGAGTCGTTCTAAAGATCAAAGCTTTTTGCTGCAAAACCTAACAAGTACCTGGCAATAAATAATACGTAATAAACAATAAATAATATGTTGCTCATATCATGATAAATACTATTTTAAATAACTATGGTTATGCATCCATATCATTCTGGATATTTCCAGAACACTCAAGGTTATTCTAAGAAACTGTTATGACTGCAGACCAACTTTTAGCAGACCATGAGGATTTCTAGAGATGTTTATCTCAGAGGTAGGCCAATGTCTTGAATTCCCCCCAAAAGGGGACAAAAAGGGAGAAGTCACAGTTAGAAGTGAACATTTATTCTTTGTCTACTCTGTAAGAGGTTATTAACATATATGTATTTATAGAGAACATTAAATGTAAGCTGTCAGGATCTTTCTGAGTTCATTAAGAAAAAAAGACATCATTTGGACCTCACTGAATATCCTTATGATACTGCCAGTAATGGCGCATCTGCTAGCCAGTTGGTAGAGTATGTGATTCTTGATCTCAGGGCTGTAACTCTGGGCATAGAGATTACTTAAAAGAAAATAAAATCTTAAAAAAATGCTACCAGTAAGCAAAAATATTAGAACCCTCCCATGAACTCCATACTCCTAAGGCCAACCATCTTATGAATGATTGCCTGCATAGTAGGTGGACACACTGGCCTTTGCTACCTTGTTTCCTCTGGCTGTGCCTTCCTTGTCCCAATTCTTCAATCTTAATGATTTCTCCATCACCTCCTCTGGGGAGTCTTCAATGATACCAGGATTAGCATTAGAAGTGATGTTCAATTGAGGGTTTCGGAGGGGAGGTGGTGGGGATTAAGTGAGCCTGATGGTAGGTATTAAGGAGGGCACATATTGCATGGAGTACTGAGTATGGTGCATAAACAATGAATCTTGGAACACTGAAAAAATAAAATTAAATTAAAAAAAAAAAGAAGTGATGTTCCCATTGTCCCCCATCACATCTTTATTGCTGCCCTCATGATGCTAAATGGCAAATAGCTTTTTCTTTCTTTTTCTTTCCTATTTGACTATAAGCACTCTGAGGTCAAGAATATACTGTTCATTCATTTATTGCTATGCCAACCTAACAAATATTTATTGCTAGCTGCTACTGTGTACTGTTTTAGGGGCTAGGGATATAGCTGTGAATAAGACAACATTAACACATTCTCCATGGAGATAATAATCTAAGAGGAAAGACAGACTACATAATTAAGTGTAATTAAATTATGTTGAGGGCTACAATAGAGAACCATCAGAAGTTCTGATATAAAGGGAAGCATCTAAAGGGAAGATAAAACTGAGTTTAGGAGCCCAAGGAAGATATTACTGGAGGGATAATAGGGTAGGGTAGGGACAATTGGTTTCAGGAGAAGGGAAGAAAATGTATGAAGAATATGCAAGTTATTCATGTTTTATTTAATGTTCGCACCTAGCATAGTATCTGTGCATATTACGGGCACTCACGTGTTTGTTGAAAGAATTTGCCTCCTTTCCCCCAACGACTCACACACATAAGCACACAACTTCTTTCCATTATGTTTTGTTTCTGTTAATTTATTTGAGAAGTTAGAGTTTGTCAATAGCTAAGGAGCTGGCCGACTACGTAGGATGAGAAGAAATGAAGGGGGGGTTGAAAGAGTAACTGTTTT